CGCAATTTTCCCCAGAACCTAAGGCCCATGGGGTCTGGGCTTTCCAAACAACCCTGCCAATCATTCATACTAAAATTAGACTGCTTACCACCATAGCAGTCTTTTCATCACTAGTCTTAAGGCCATTCCTTCACTGGCCCCATGAAGAATAATGGAGGTACCCCTGCTACAGTTGGATATAAAATGTGCCCCAGAAGTCTGGTATTCAGATCTGACTGGGCCTGGCTAGCAGAGACATCGCTAGAGGCTGGACCAGGATGGGTGTATTCTTGTCCCTGGCTCCCCACCTTACCATCCCAGGACTGAGCAGCTTCCCATGGCAGGACTTTCACCATGCCATTCTTACCTGGGAGCCAGCCCCTGACTACTGACTGAGTCCACTAGAAGCCATCAGCCCAAATCAACCTCCCTCTTTTAAATGTAAGTGTCAGGCCTTTTGTCCCATCAGTGAGAAAATGACTAGTACAGTCCCTGTCACTTTGAGGGATGCCCTATGTCAGAGCAGAGACTTAGTATACAGCCCACAAACTGGATCCTTTCATCCCTGTCTGAGGCACTCTCCTTGCACTGTGATTTAGGACAGCAGCAAGGGACACTACTGTGCTTGCTCCTCTCCCTTGTCCCAATGTGCTGCCTATGAACGTCTCCTCCATGCATCCTATCAGAAGTAACTACCTAAAACACAGATCAGCTCAACCACTTCCTGCCTAAATCTTCCTCTACAGCAAGAACAAATTCCACAGCATGTCAAACAAAGCCCTGAACGTTCTAGATCCAACTTACTCCAATTGTTTTCTGTTTCTCCTCTTCTACATGCACACACACACATTCACACTCACACACCCTGCTATTCTCAACCCTTTCCAACACTCCACAAAGCACCACTGTGATCAGAACACTGACCACTTGTCTTCACCAGAAACAATCACCCATGTTATCACCTTTGAATACAAATTGATACTGAACACAAACACTCCATCCTCCAGGAAGTCTTCCTCGATTCTCCCTGGGAGACTTGGCTCCTATTCCAACTTTCTTCACAAAACAACACTATTTCAATCCTCCTCGAATGCAGGGACTGTTCCTTTGTTGGTCTTCACCTCATAGAGTGTGGTACCTGAATGTTTTTTAAAGAAATAAACAAATGTACAAATGAACAGTAAAGCTCCTAGATGCACTGCTGGTGATAGCTTTCAAAACAGTCAGTTTTTCAGTTATCTTCAATCAATTATTATTTGCTCTTAAAAGGGTTTCCCTGTGAGGGAATCTACAAGTCTCTCTACTGCCTCACTATATGTAGAATCCCCCAAAGTAAAATTACAATATATAATGCAGAATCTTTTCTGAAAAAATCATCTGCATCTCAATTTTATCTCCCTACTTTAAACAATAATATAAATGTTTATGGGACACCAAACGTCAAATTCATACTAACAGTAATAATGATAATAATTACCTTTTAAATAATTGGTATTGAGAAATAGCCAAACCAGTTGACATGCAGGCAGAATTTTATATTTTTCATCAGAAAAACAATTCACTTCTGAAGACAAATAACAATCAGGCCACTAAAACTACCTGTCATGCATCTAATGAAGACAGATTCTCTGGCTACAACATACAATATGTAATATCCAAAAGTGTTGCTGTAATTCACAGCTAATTAGTGTCTTGCCGTTATGAGAGATGTCATGGCCCTAGATGTCATGGTCTTTTTTGTGAGCTACTCAGACCTCACAAGAGCTGACAGCCATGCAAGGATCACAACAACCCAATTAGCACCCATCCCAACCCTAGGCTGCTGCTTCTCCCCAAGGTCCCAGCATCAATAAATCACAGTTCCTCACAAAGCCCTTCACTGACAGCTCTGAGCCATTGCTGACCAAGGAATAAAGACAACACTTCTAAGGAAAACCCATGTGGGAAAGACAGAGATAGGAAAAAGGGTATTATTTGCCTTCCTTTAGCAGCACAGCAGTCAGCAAAACTGAAGACCATCAATTCTGACTGATTAAGGAGACAACTGCACTGAAAAAACAGTCGTGACTTGTTCATCTGAAGAGCCATGGTGATTATCAGCAGTTAGCAACTGAATGTGTACTTCTTTGTTTAACATAGATACATTGAAGACCTTTCTCTTGCCATTTTTTCCCATATAACCTTCTCTGCAACTAATAACAAAATGTTTCTTTCAGAGGGGCATAATAGGATGTGTTTGCTTTATCCCCAGTAAATGCACAGCAATCAGATAATTTGTTTCAAAGACTTTAAATTGTTTGACTTTATTGAAAAAGAATTTATAATGATATGCCAGTCTCCAAGCAAGGCCTACAAAGCTTCCTAATCCACAAGAAAGCCAATATCCTTGTAATTTTGTTCTAAGCCTGTAAAGCTGTTTTATTGCAAAATATTCTTTAGTTTTCTGAACAGTTGCTGTTGCCCAAGAATTATCCAAAGATATGGGTCTGGCAAATGTACTTTTAGTTTGTTTTCTTCATGGAATATTATTCTTCTATATTTTTAATGCTAATCTAAATCATCTAATCTAGTTTTTAGGTAAATATCTACCACCTAATTTGATGTATAAATATTAGCAAAGGCAAGTAGACAAATACGGATTCATTTAAAGAAAGAATTGTATCATAACATAGAAAATTTCAAAAAGACTCAAATTTCTACCTCTGAATATATTATCATGTAAATCTACAAGAGTGTCCACTGTATCATATTTTATATCAATACCATAACTGAAAATCACAAAATGTGCAAAGTATGCTTTAAATCAAATAAAATGGAAATCAATAAAATGAAATGTTATATATAGCTTCTAAAAATAATAGTGTAGGAGAATATTAAAAGGAATGCAAAGATGTTCCCAGGAATCTAGGCACGGCGGTATACTTTGAGAGGCTGCGGCAGAAGGATTGCAAGTCTGAGCCTACCCCGGGGAATTTAGCAATTTTGCAAGATCCCGTTTCAAAAAGTAAGTTCCTAGGTTCCTCCAAGATGGACATTTAACAAATCTAGATCTATATTATGCATACACACATAACTCTATGTTTATATATCTGTTACAAATGTGTATTCATACATATATATTTAATTATTTATAAGATGACTTCAGTTTTATCTTATTGTTGGGAGGTCTGAGTGTATATGCATGTATTTGTACATAAATATAGGTCAACTACAGAAAAAAGTTTAAAAAGAAAAGCATTTAAATATTTTTAAAGTTCCTTCAGGGAATGAGTGTCTAGAATATTCTTCTTTTACTTATTCTGCTTATGTAAATTGTCAATTGTTAATAAAAAATATATTTTTCACTTATGTCACCTAAATTTATCTAGATGTGCACTAGTGTGAAGTCCTAACCTGGTAGATTATGTGTTCTGGGCGGCTAACGGCCATCATTAAATATTTTGATTACCACTCTGGTTATAAGAACATTTAAAGGGTCAGGGACATATCATATATAGGCACATTTAATACCAGATCTCAGAAGGCTGAGGAACAGGATTGCAAGTTGATGGGAGTTCAAGGACAGCCTGCACTATGCAGCAAAACTCTGCCTTAAACAATAATGAACCAAAAACAAAAATTGATAGAAACAAAAAATGATAATCAGAATAGCATTTTTTTCTTATCCACAGAGCTAAGTAGGAGCAAAGCTGCATCAATATAATTCCAGTTTAGGGTAGTGATTCAGTGCCAGAATAGGCAGGGACTGAATAAGTACAGCCGCTCTGCAAACCACAGCATTGCCCATGATTCTTGCCAGTTCCAGCCCATCTGCTCTGACCATGTGTTCGGTAGGATAACAGGTGCCACATAACACAACTGGCCAGAATTCAGGCCAGGTCAGGGTTCCCACAGTGTGGGTTCTGGCCCTCCCCCAACATGGCACCATGAAGGCTGTCCTCACTCTGAGCCTGGCAGACACAAGGTCCATGGGCATCACGCATGGCAAACACCGGTTGCATAACAACAATAAAGAGGAGACAAGTCTCTTCCCCTACAAGGTTTATATCTACTTAGAGAAACACAGTAAGTGTTTAAAAAGGATGCTAGCACAATACCATGCCTATACTACTGGGTGTGATGGTGCACATCTGTAATCCCAGCACTCAGGCGGCCAAGGCAGGAGGATCGCCCTGAGTTCTAGGCCAGCCTAAACTACACAGTGAGATCCTGTTTCCAAAAACAAAAACAAAAACAAAATAGTCCCATACAATACAGAGATTAGAACAGGGCAATAAAAGGGAAAGTCTTACACTTTAGAGATAGGCTAGTGTAGAGAACATTGCAAAACAGACCTAAAAAGACAGGCTTTTTAAAGCAACAATACTCATGTAATCACCTTTGACTCAAGATATTTCTCAGGTCTCCTAAGTTTCTGTATCCTAGGCATTATAAACATGCACATGGCCTTTAGTTGAAAAAAGGGTTAATTAAATGCACTCACATTCAGCATTTCAATTCACTCTCTATTTACGAAGCAGATAAACGGAACACAAAAAGAGAAGAGAGGAGAGGGAAGGAGAAAGGAGGAAATGAGAGTAGGGAAGGGGAGGGAAAGGAGAGAAGGAGGGGAGGAGAGCGGAGGGGAGGGGAGGGAGGGAGGGAAGGGAAGAGGAGAAGAGAAAAAAATCACATTTCAGAGAGATTAATTTTGACAACAGTGAAATTTTTGCTTCTTATTTATCATTGCCCTAAAAGGAGTGCAAACAATGCAAAAGCAAGAAAATGTCACCATATTCATGTGCTTTTTATTTCAGAACTAAAGTGCATGTATTTGAAACTATCTGTAGACTTCTCCCCATAGATAATAATTTTCTAATTTTTGTATTACTCCTGAGCAGTTCAGTATGTTTAATTTTGTTGCTACTGTGAAGAATAGAAATAGGGCAAAGTTTAAAATTAGCACGCGCATGCTCACACAGCAGAGCCCTGACTGCACCCTCTCAAATCCATGCTCAGACCACACAGAACAAGGCCCCTACCTGAGAGGGAGAACTCTCCTTCCTGGCTTTCACTTTCTCTAATCAGAAAGGCGCCCGTCTGATTTTTTGAATATAGTAGTTGATTTTCTGCATCTGCTCTTTTGATTGCTCCAAAGAACCACCTAAAAGAGAAATACGAAAACTTTAATTAACCAATTAACATTCATTTTGAAGGCACAAGAAGTTTGGCAAGATCAGAAACATTTGTTATTCTGATTTTTCAGGAGGTCAGTAACCATACCAGGACCAATAAAAGTAAACTTTGATAGTGCTCTTTGCAATATCGTCTCCTACCCCTGCATCCTGAGATCTTAAGCTCTCCTCTGCCAAGGCCGCAGCCCAGATGCAGACCTTGCCATGTAAGCCTGCATGTGCCAGCCACTGAAATTGCTCATCATTGCCATCAAACTGACTGAGGCCTCACCTAATGCCTTCTGGGTGTCAGGAGGCAAATAATCCAGTTAAGGGACTCATGTACCTCACATTCAAGTGTGCACAGTTAAAAATGCATTTCTGCAGACATTAACTTCTTTCTTTTCCCACTTCTATCACTGCCCAACCCCACTATCAAAAGATTTTGAATATTTAGAAGGAATTTAGTAATATAAAGGAAACTTTAACCACTGGACAGATTATATAGAAAAGCTATTTCTACCTGGGAAGTATATGTTTGGTGCTACCTCTGCCTCCACCTCTTGTCTTTACACACTTAACCTTGCCCTTCCAGAATTCAGCAATCAACACACTCATTATAAATCCAATCGGCCCAACAAAGAATTAGGAGCTATAATATTGCAGCCACTCTAAAATGTCTATCAAGTGCTAAGGACCAATGTAATTTAATAAGCAAAATCTGAGAGCACCTGCTTTTCAGAAATGACCTCTCCCTCACTATAGTATATAAAGAGGAGCGTGATCATTAAGGATTTCAGATAAAATACTCATATTTTCAGACATCATCTTTACAAATGTAAACACCCTAAAAGAGGAATGGGTTACTGACACTCTGAAATGTAGACATGAGGAAAAAAGTACAGCTGAGAGAGAAGACACGGGCCATCAAATGTTACCTTATATTTGCTAAGTTGTTAGTTTTGGAGACTACAATAAAATTAGAGGGAGGTTGGGGAAAAGGAATTAGAAAGAAAGAGAGACACGGTACTATAAATACTACCTCTTAATGAATGCACGGTGTTTGTTTATCATTCTCCCAATTATCAAACTGTAAATTACAGCACATTAACTATATTCATCAGGACATTTCAGGTCAGGTTGCAATAACAAATAACTAAAAATCTCAGTGGCTTAAGACAACAAGTATCTTTTCACTCATATGCATCTCTCTTCTCAGTCATATGGAGTAGTGCTCTGTCTACCTCACTGAGGCAATGTCTATCTTCCTGCTTCCATGATGCTAAGTTTCAGAGCTTCATCTTGTTAGCAGATAAGCCACCTAGCCATGCCTAAACGTGAAGACAGTAGAAAGTGCAATCTAATTGTTCCCCAGAAGGCAAAGAACTGGATACACTAGGTTCACTACACAATGGTTACCATACTGGCTCAATTTCTAAGTCCAAACTGATGTCCACAGAGTATTGTTTGTCCAGCTAAAACCATATAAGGCATGAAAATGTTCTGAAGTGGGGTATCCTGAGTTCACCAAAAAATAGAAATACATTTTTAGTATCTCAGAAATACATCAAGAGAACAGCAGAACATATTAAAAACTCACATAGACCCAAATATACAAATTAGTAATGAGAGGACATATTCAATAAATGATGCTGGTACCATTAATAATTCTGGTACCACATGAAAAATGTAGATGCTACCTACAACACATACAATAATTTTACATAATGGTATAATGTAAAGGATAAATTTTTAAAACTTTCTGAAGATATTGGACTGGGACCAAAAAAAAAATGATATATTGACCTTAAGGAGGAAAAATATTTCTTACATCACAATTAAAAACATCTTCACCAACAAGATCACTATGAAATAAAATACAAGCCACAGACTGGAGAAAATATCTCCAAAATATATAACAAAAAATAAGATTAGTATTTAGATTATATTGGGATTTACAGCCAATAAAAGACAAAAGCATAGGAAAATTGGCAAAGGATATAATTAGCTCAGAGAAATGGAAAGCCCAAATTAAAAATAAAAGCGACAGAAATTCACCTTCTAGCTGTGTTAGTAATAAAGTACTGTATTCCGCATAAGACTTCAATGAAACAAAACCTTACACTTTCCCAGGCTGGTCAAAATTTAAAACTCTTGCAAAATTAGGTCTTGGAAAAAAGTGAGATGAAAGCCTTTATACAAAGCAGTGGTGCTATAATTTGGTACAAGTTTAGAGAGCAAGTTGGCACTGTCTGGTAAATCTGAATGTCTATGTATTACTCAATCTCACTGCCAGACTACATCCTGTATGTGCTCAACAGGATATAGAAGAAGAAGGGTCACTGAAGGATCCGGCACAAAAGCCTGAAAACAAGCAGGGGTAATGCAGGTCAGCGGGAGAGCACTTGTTTAGCATGAATGAGGCCCTGGGTTTGATCACCAGTGGGCTCTCTCTCTCTCTCTCTCTCTCTCTCTCTCTCTCTCTGTCTCTCTCCCACTCCCTCTCTCCCTTTCTCTCTCCCTCTCTCTCTCACAAGCATGTACACAAAATGGAAACAACCTAAATGCCCAACTTAGGATAATGAATTGATTATAGATATTAAATGGAATATTATGCAGAAATTAAAACATTTTTCAGGAAAGGCAGTTGAATGATATACACCACTGTAATATCATTTGTATAAAGTTTAAGCAAACACTTTGAAAAACCAGAACATAATTTTATAAATACACACATGCTTAGTAAAAGCTAACTGTAAAAATATGCAAGCATTCTTCTAATTCTATTTCCAGAAATGTCAAAACTTCTTCACACAAATATTCCCAGCAAAGAAGCATGGGTGAAATGTGCTGAGCAAGTCAATGCACTTTCCTGATTCATACTGCATTGATTATATATCAACAGTAAAATGTTTTATCAAAATATAAATATGCAAACTTTTACAGGAATTACAATTTATCTAACACATTCAATTCTTAAAACTATGATTACATCTCCTATTCTTCATTCTCAAGTACAAACACTGCATTATATAAGTTTTATGTATGCACATTACAGTTGTATTTTGGACTATCAGTTCTATACGTGATGTGTCTGGTAGTAGGTGCAGTTGCTTTACAAGACAAGTCACGTCAGTATTGAATCCATACAAATAATGAAACAGTTATAAATATTAGACTGGATGCATCAGCTGACTTGATACCTGGAATTTTACTTGGCTGAGCTCTCATCATGCTGGGAAGAATATAAACAAAGAATTGTTTTCTTGATGCACTGGAATTCCAGTGGTAATATAATAAGGCCGCCCCTCATACTCAAAGACAACATGCCTGTTACAGATTGTAATCTTCAGAGCATGTGATGCTACAGAGGATAACAGTAGAAACAATAGCTCATTTCACCCTTTGTACATTGGAAGCTGTTCCTTAATTTGAGCTCTGAGCTGTTAGCAGGGCCGCTGCTCCCATCAGCTCAGCCTTTTAGAAGCGCCTACTGGCCCCATTCTGGAAGGGCGTCCAAACTCCATCCCTGCTTGACCCCATCCACCCGCTCCTTAGGCTGCAGTTCTTATGGTCAGTGAACAGTGAGAGTTGAGGTGGGAGCTGGATACGATATGAGACGTGAAGCACTACAGGAGAGCCACACATGCGACGATCCCCAGCGCTTCAGCACCGCGTGAAGACCGCTAGAAATGAGAATGCCCGGGCTCGTTCCAGACCTCCGGAAACAGAAACTCTGGGAGATGAGGTGCAGCAGCAAGAGTTGCAGTAAACGCCCAGGTCAAGCTGATGCTCACTAAAGTTGGAGAAGTACTGAGAAATAGTGAAAAAGATAGAAACGTGTGCAATGCACCTAAGAATAAGTGAGAGCCTGGCACTTAAATGTGAAAAATGATGCAGTAAAATGGCACCACATGACACACACACACACACATGCATGCATATATTTTGATATTTAACAAAAAATAATCTTCTTGATTAATAATAACCAAAAGGAGAGCATATTTATATAAACCAAAAGTTTGCTTATTTATATTTTGATAAAACATTTTACTGTTTTTGATAATCTATATAGTAAGAGAAAGAAATGCTTCTATTAGTTGAAAACTAAACAGAAAACAAAATTTTGTGTTGTATGAAAGGAGACTAAGATCTAAAATTTCTTTTGCAAATATTTATCAAGTGTCTGTGCACTTACAAAGGCCAGTAGCATTTACATAAAAAGATCTTTAAAACATTGTTGGATTTTTTTTTAAGTAAATTGTAGCAATAGGAATATTACACTTCTGTCCAGAGCAGGGATGACGAACCTTTCAGAGCTTTCCGTGCTGACAAGCACCCGCTGCGGTCCACATGCCACAGGTCGGCTGCCACTGCTCTGGAGCCTTACAATTCTATCTACTAAAAACCAACAAGCCATAACCTATGTGAGGTTAGGAAGAAACCACAACAGTGATGAAGAAGGCCTTTCAATTTCGTTCTGCATTTGTCTTTGTACTTTGGATGTTCACAATAAGATGTAATTGTAGGTCACATTAAATTTTACTTAAATATAAAAAATTAAACGAAGTCTTTCAAGAACCCACATGTTGTAAAGTTCTGACTAAGAAGGTGGGCAGTTAGAATCGAAAGATACAAGACACACTCCAAAAAGTTACAGGACTGATGGTTACTGATGACAGAGAAGAGGACAGGTTCTCCAGTGTGACCCCAGCATTTCAAATCCGAATGACTGAAGCACAGCATGCCAGAGCAGACTAACAGCTAAGAGCCAAACCACATCATTGGGAGGGTTACTTATCGTCTCATGTCTGGATTTCCTCAGTTGAGAGTGGGAATGATAATAATTACCATTCAGCCTTGTTTTGAGATTAAGAAAAATCACACCAGCAAAAAGCTTGATGTCTGGTGCATTTATGCTCATTGCCTCTCAACAGAACTAACTGAAGGAAGAAATGATAAATTTAGACATGTGGATTTGAGGTCATGG